GTGGATGAATGGACAGTAAATGGATGGATGGATGGATGGATGGATGGATGGATGGATGGATGGATGGATGGATGGATGGATGGATGGATGGATGGATGGTGAATGATAGGTGGTGATGGATGGGTCGGGACAGGTGGAGGGTGGATGATGAATGGATGGATGGATGGTGGATGAATGAACGGATGGTAGACAGATGACTGGATGGATAATGGATAGATGGGGATCAGTCTGAAAACCAGGAGTAGGATAGCAGGGGAGGGGCTGGCCAGCTCTACAGGTGAAATACAACCCAAGTTAAAGACTATGTCCTTACAATCCTGTTTGAAAGCCTGAGGCTAACACACCACGTGTGAACCTGTACGCGTGTCACGGGTCTCCTTTTGCACCAGCACTCAGGAGCCTGTCAGATGTGTAGGAGTACGTTAACACGGGTGTGTGTGTATGTGCCCGTACCTCTGTCATAGGGGGAGGTTGTGGAGGGTGGGGTCTTCACCAGCCTGCCCCAGTGCCTGGCCTGGCCATGGCTTTAGTGGACAGGCTCCCAAGCACAGTCACTGCTGAAAGGCCACACCCCTCCCCACAGCTGCCAGTGGGCACTGCCCCTCTGGGTGAGATGGTCTGTGCCCAGGAGGGGCTGAGCAAGGCATGGGACAGGGCTGCTCACCTGTGACCTTCAGCTGGGCCTCCGAGCTGCACTGGCCCACTTGGAAACTGATGGTTCCGGCATCCTCGAGGGTTACCTAAGGACACCGAGACGGAGATGCTCAGCCCCAGCAGGCCCCATCTGGACCAGGAGGGCTCTGCAGCCTCTGCACGGGGCCGACCCACCTCTGCTCACACGGCCAGGGCAAGGGCTCAGCACCTCCCCAGTCAGCCCCTCCAGGGAGGGCATTTGTGAGTGGGTGGAGGCCCTTCTTAATGGAGTGAGAACCTTCCCCCAGGGCTGCCCCTTCTAAAACCCGGGGTGGGAGGGCCCCTGGGAATGCTGTGAGGAGGCGGATCCCTGCGAGCCCACCTTATGCAGGGTGAGGGCATGGAGCACGCCGTCCTGCACTGTGATGTCGTTCATCTCGTTGGCCTGCAAGGGCACCCCGCCCAGAGTCCAGTAGGCCTGCTGACCCGGGGCCCTGGACAGCCGGCACCAGAAGCGGGCGTCCTGGCCCTCGCTGAGCTGCATGTCCTGCAGTGGCTCCAGGATGACCACTTCGGGGGCTGGGTGGGGGAGGCACGGGCAGGGCTCAGGTCTGAGAGCCCCGCCCCACCAGGACGGCTGTCCTCCCGAGCCTGCCCCTGTCACCCCCACCCAAATTCCTGAAGAGGCCGCACACCGGGGACCCGCCCTCTGCTCCTTCTAGCTGAGACTGCGTACTGGGCTCTGGCCCACAGAGATGGTGATGACTGCGGGCTGGCCTGAGCCTCTGGGGAGCCCACCTCCTGCCCCTCCACAGTCTGACACACACCCTCAGGCCCCAAGTCCCACTCTCTACCCTGACATCCTGTGCTACCTTGAGATTGTCCATCCGGGGGCCTCACTCCCCGAGTTCCTGCATCCCCAAGAACAGGAATCCTTGGTTGTCTGTCTGTCCCTCCCGCCCTCATGGGCCCAACAGAGAGACACGGAGGCCCTGCAACCCGCCCCGGGCCCCACTACCTCGGACAGTGAGCTGGGCGGAGGAGGTGCAGAGGCCCACGTGGAAGGAGACAATACCCGCATCCTCGAGCGTGACGCCCTTCAGCCGCAGCGTGTGGGTGCAGCCGCCCTGCACGCCCACCTCAGTCACCTCATTGCTCCGCAAGGGCAGGCCCTGGAGCCGCCACTCCACGTCTGTGGCCCCAGGCTGTGACACCTCACAGCGGAACTCCACGTCCTCGTCAGCCTGCACCTCAGCATCCACCAGCCCCCGCACAATGGTCACCTCGGGCTCTGGGGGTGGGGAGACGGGTCCCTTGACCAGCTGCAGCTCTGGCTCCACTCGTCCTCCAGGAAGCCTGCCTGGCCATCCCACGCCCTCCTCCCTCCTCAGCTTCATCTGCCCACAGCGTCTGTCACCGAGCTCACAGGACCTCCCCCCTGTGAATGTGAGCTCCTCACGGGCAGAGACCAACCGGGGCACCTCTGTCCGCAGGAAGCGGGTGAGAGGTCCCTCCCAGCCCTGCAGCCAACCCCACCCTGGGCCAGGGTTCCAGGGCGGTAAGTCCTTCAGGAAAGACACACCAACGGCTGCCCACCAGGAGTTCAGAGGCTTTTAATGTCCTTCTCCCAGGATACCGGTATGGGGGCGACATGGAGGGGCATGGGGCACACCCCTCCCAGCCACCCCCACGGACAGCACCTGGCAAGAGAGGTGCTTGAGACAGGCCAGGTGCATCCCCAAATGAGCTGCAAGGGTGTGGTGTGGTGGGGGAGGGGGGACACTCCCACGAGCCCCTCACCTTTGACCTTGACGGAGGCCAAGGTTCTCTGGCCGCCCACCACGCAGGCGTACTCGCCGGTGTCCTTGGCCTCAAGCCCGTGGATCAGCAGCTCGCACGTGGTTCCCTGGTGCCGCATCTCGTACTTGGGCCCCCCATGAAGTTCCATGCCCTCCTTGAGCCAGTGCACCGAGGCCCCCGGCTTGTCCTCGCTCAGCTCACAGCACAGCCGGGCCACGCCACCTACCTCCTGCTCCACGCTCTGCAGCCGGGCCTGGAACTCGGGCCTGGGGGCTAAGGACCAGGGAGGAGTGTCACGGCCCCTGGTCGAGCTGGGGGCCCGGCCAGGTACGTGGGGCGGGGTGGGGCTCACCGCGGACCAAAAGGCTGGCCGTGCTCTGCCGCTGCCCCGTGTCGCAGGTGTAGTCCCCAGCGTCCTCCTGCTCGGCGTTGCAGACTCGAAGCTCGACGGCCATGCCCTCCTGCGCCATCTGGTACTTGGCACAGGGGAAAAGCTGCAGAGAACCCTTGCGCCACTCCACGCTGGCTCCCGGCTGGCTCAGCTCACAGCACAGCCGTGCCGTCGAACCCTCGTCCACCTCCTGGGGCTGCAGCTCCCGCAGAAAGGACACAGGCACAGCTACGTGGGAGACGGGGAGCGTGAGGGCAGGCCCCGGGTCCTGCCCACGACGCCCCAGAGCGCACATCGTGGCCGGCCTCAAGGACAGGCTATGCCCACTGCAAGCAGGGCATGTACCCTCCCTTCGGCCCTGGGGCAGTGGCACGGCCCACACAGGACTGGGCCCTCCAAGCCTGGATGAGGCAGGGCCGGTCACGGGCAGGTCAGGGGATGGAGCACACCTGTGACCGTGAGGGTGGCACTGGTGCTCTGCGAGCCGCAGGTGCAGCTGTACTCCCCGGCATCCTCCCGGTGCACATCCCGCAGCAGCAGCTCGGCCACAGGCCCCCGCTTCCGCAGCTCCAGCCGCCCGCTGGCCTGCAGCTCCAGCCCACCCTTGCTCCAGATCACAGTGGTGTCCGGTGCAGACAGCTCACACCCGAGGCTGGCTGTGGAGCCCTCCTCGGCCTGCAGGCTCTGCAGCTGGGTTCTGAACACCACCTGCTGGGCTGCAGGGTGGGGTGGGGTGGAGGGGAGATAGAGGGTGGGTCATAGGTCAGACTAGGGTGTTCCTCATGCCAGCCTTCCAAACAAGAAGCCCCCAGCAGGATCATGTTCCGCAGGCTGTCAGAGGATGGCGGACCCCTGGGCAGGGCTGTGTCCCACAGGCCCCCAGGGCAGAGCTGTCTCCCACAGATCCCCCACTACGGAAGAGCTGTCTCTCCACCAGACCTCTCGGGGCAAAATCATGTCCCTTCAGACTTCCGAGGGCAGGTCCAAGTCCCCTCAGACTCCAACGTGGGCTGCATCCCCTCAGACCCTCCAGGCAAGGCTGTCTGCCCTCCAGACTAGCCAGGGAGAAGCCATGCTCTCTCAGACCCCAGGGGAGGTCTGAGTCCCCTCAGACCCAAGATGGGGCCTTGTCCCCTCAGACCCCCTTCTCCCAGGGCAAAGCTCTGAGGTTGGGCACTGTTCTAGCCTTCAGGGACTCGTCTAGACATTGGGAAGGAAAGCAGAGATATGAAAAGGTCAAGCAAAGGACAGACAGCAACCAGCAGGACACAAAGCAGGAATGAAGACAAAGGTGTGGGCACCGTGGGGCTGGGGATGGAGAAGGTGTCAGGAACTCATGCCAGTCCACACGTCCACACGCTGTCTTTACCCTTTCCAGTCAGCGCGAGGCAGACAAACACCATGGGATGAACAGCGGACAAGAAGGGACAGACACGAGAGATGTGAAAACACAATGGAGCAGACACCACATCACTGCTCTCCATGACTACACACAGCTTTTACCTTTCACAGTGAGCTTGGCTGAGGTCCTCTCCTGCCCGCACACACACAAATACTCCCCAGCATCTGTGACAGCCAGATCACGGATCTCCAGCTCACATTTGGCCCCATCCTGCCTCAGGCAGTATCTGTCCCCTGAGATGAGGGTCTCAGAGCCCTTCTTCCACTGCACGGGGGCCGTCTTGCTCAGCCCACACCTCAGCGTGGCTGTAGCCCCTTCTGTGGCCTCCTGACTCTTCAGGCCTTGTATGAATCTGGCTGGCAGGGCTGGGAAGGCCAAAGGACATGGAGAACATCAGACTGTCTGTGAGACTTTGTGTACAGGACACAGACACCCACAAAGAAACACATAAAATCCCAAAGGAGCAAAGGGTTGGACAAGCAAACAAACGGACAAACGATGAGGGAAGCCAATGGTCACAGAGGAAATCAAGGACAAGAAAAGATGGAGACAGCCTCATGAAAACGAACATCATGACATCTATTGGGCAAGGGGTCACAGAGCTGGGAGAATCCAAGAGACCCCAGCTGTATGGAGAACAGACATCCACAGAGTCTCACGGGGGATTGGACACAGGTGGAGGAAGAAGGTGGTGACATGGGACACCATGGCACAGACACCATACCACAGATCCACTAGGCCACATGCAGTCTTTACCCTTCACGGTGAGTGTGGCTGAGGTCCTCTCCTGCCCACACACACACATATACTCCCCAGCATCTGCCACGGCCAGGCCATGGATCTCCAGCTCACAGTTGGTCCTCTCCTGCCTCACGTTGTATTTGTCACCAGTGCTGAGGGTCTCAGAGCCCTTCTTCCACTGCACGGGGGCCATCTTGCTCAGCTCACACTTCAGCGTGGCTGTAGCCCCTTCTGTGGCCTCCTGACTCTTCAGGCCTTGTATGAAACTGGCTGGCAGGGCTGGGAAGGCCAAATGGACATGGAGAACATCAGACTGTCTGGAGGACTTTGTGTACAGGACACAGTTAGCCACTAAAAACACATAAACTCCCAAAGGAGCAAAAGGATGGACAAGCAAACAAATAGATGAAAGATGAGGGAAGCCAATGGTCACAGGGGAAATCCAGGACAAGAAAAGATGGAGAGAGCCTCATGAAAACTAACATCGTGACATCTATTGGACAAGGTTCACGGAGCTGGGAGAATCCAAGAGACTCCATTTGGATGGAGAACAGACATCCACAGAGTCTCACGGGGGATCGGACACAGATGGAGGAAGAAGGTGGTGACATGGGACACCATGGCACAGGCACCATACCACAGATCCACTAGGCCACATGCAGTCTTTACCCTTCACGGTGAGTGTGGCTGAGGTCCTCTCCTGCCCGCACACACACATATACTCCCCAGCATCTGCCACAGCCAGGTCACGGATCTCCAGCTCACATTTGGCCCCGTCCTGCCTCAGGCAGTATCTGTCCCCAGCACTGAGGGTCTCAGAGCCCTTCTTCCACTGCACAGGGGCTGTCTTGCTCAGCTTACACTGCAGTCTGGCCGTGGCCCCTTCCATGGCCTCCTCACTCTTCAGACCTTGTATGAATCTGGCTGGCAGGGCTAGGAAGGCCAAATGGACACACAGAGAACATGAGACTGTCTGGAGGACTTTGTGTACAGGACACAGACACCTACAAAGAAATACACAAACTTCCAAAGGACCAAAGGAATGGACAAGCCAGGAAATCAACAAATGATCAGGAAAGCAAATGGCCATGGGCAGACAAAAGGACAAAGAGGGATGGACATGAGCCTCATGAACATGAACATCGTGACATCTACTGGACAAGACGTCAAACAGTTGGGAACCCCAGGACACCCCAATGAGATGGAGAACAAACATCGATGGAGTCCCATGGTGGCCTTGGGACAGATGGAGGCAGGAAGTGGTGACACAGGACACATGGTTCAGACACCACTCCACTAATCCACCTGGCCACACACAGCTTTTACCCTTCACAGTGAGCGCTGCCGAGGTCCTCTCCTGCCCGCACACACACAAATACTCCCCAGCATCGGCCACAGCCAAGTCATGGATCTCCAGCTCACATTTGGCCCTGTCCTGCCTCAGGCAGTATCTGTCCCCAGTGCTGAGGGTCTCAGAGCCCTTCTTCCAGTGCACAGGGGCCGTCTTACTCAGCTCACACCTCAGCGTGGCTGTGGCCCCTTCTGTGGCCTCCTCACTCTTCAGACCTTGTATGAATCTGGCTGGCAGGGCTGTGAGGGCCAAATGGACATGGAGAACATCAGACAACTGGAGAATTTGTGTACAGAACACAGACATCACAGAGAAACACATAAAATTCCAAAGGACAAAAAGGATGGATAAGCAAACAAATGAACAAATGAAGAAAGCAAATGGTCATGGGTGGGACAGAGGATAAACACGGATGAACATGAGCCTCATGAACATGAACGTCATGACATTTATTGGTCAAAGTGTTGAGAAACTGGAAGAACTCAGGAGGCCCCAGTGAGATGGACAACAGACATCCATGGAGTCCCACAGGGGGCCTGGCACAGATAGAGGGTGAAGGTGGTGACACAGGACACCATGGTTCAGACACCACTCCACTAATCCACGTGGCCACACACAGCATTTACCCTTCACAGTGAGCATTGCCGAGGTCCTCTCCTGCCCGCACGCACACAAATACTCCCCAGCATCGGTCACAACCAGGTCATGGATCTCCAGCTCACATTTGGCCCCGTCTTGCCTCAGGCAGTATCTGTCCCCAGTGCTCAGGGTCTCAGAACCCTTCTTCCACTGCACAGAGGCTGTCTTGCTCAGCTCACACCGCAGTGTGGCCGTGGCCCCTTCTGTGGCCTCCTCACTCTTCAGACCTTGTATGAATTTGGGTGGCAGGGCTGGGAAGGCCAAATGGATACACAGAGAACATCAGACTGTCTGGAGGACTTTGGGTACAGAACACAGACACCCACAAAGAAATACATACACGTCCAAAGGACTAAAGGAATGGACGAGCTAACAAATGAACAAATGGTGAGGAGAGCAAATGGTCACGAGTTCAACAAAGGACAAAGAGGGGTGGACAGGAGCCTCATGAACATGAACGTCATGACATCTATTGATCAAAGGGTGGAGGAACTAGGAGAACCTAGGAACCCTGGTGAGATAGAGAACAAACATCCATGGAGTCCCATGGGGGGCTTGGCACAGATGGAG